TATTTATGTATATATGTGTGTGTATGTATGTATATGTATGTATATATGTGTATATGTGTGTGTGTTCATATGTGTATATTTACATATGTGTTGTCTATATGTGCTAGAAATTCCTATTATGTACATATATGCAAATATATGGCTATACAGTCCTACATTATTTTTCATTTGTCAATACATAAAAGTATATGTACACTTGCACACACATATAGAACGTTGTATTATTGGCTAATTATATTAAAGTTTTGCATTTCACCACCCAAACTAGATTTAAATTTCCTTGGAAAATAAAGACAGATTTGCTTTTCAACTCTGTAGGTTCTGACTTTCCCCTCACTTTTAAGCTGGGAAACCTTCAGCGAAGATAACCAGCAGATTCATTCATAATGCTAAGGGTCTGCTGAATCTACTAATATTGGTTATCTTAAGTTTTTTTAAATATGTACATAATATACACCTATTATTGAAAATGTTAGAATATAAATAGAAAACCATGAGAAAACCTACCAAAGCCACCCATCACTCACTCCTTTTGTAGCACACGGGGCACCTTCCACACAGACAACCAGGAGCCACCACTCACAAGTTACCCACACTAGTTCAGAACCCGAACCCTCACGTTGGTTGCAGTCATTGCCTACTGTGTGAGCTGGCTACAGCTGTAGAGTATTCTTCCAATAGCAAAGGCTGTCCTCTGAGTACGTTGTGAGCAGCGAACCTCCAGAAACTGCATTCCCACATACCAGTGTCCTAAGGAACCCTAAGTGGCTGCATTCAGAAGTACCAGACGAGTGAATGAATGATGTCCATTCACTCGTATCGTGGAGGCATTAAGTCAGGTGTTAAAATAAAGCAAAGACAAGGTGACTCAGTTACCAAGAAAGGCAAGGGTGCTATACCACCCATCTTTATACATCGCTGGGGTTGTAAAAGCACTCCTTTATTCTCCACCAGACAATGCACAAAGGCAGCCGGAGAAGGAAGTCACGTTGCGATATTCTAAAACATAAATCTTGCTACCAGTTTGTTCAGAGACAGCATCCTGTTTTCCTTACGCATGGATCAGGCACTGGAGGCTGTCCTTATAGGCTCTGTGCCCTGCTCCTCAAAGTGCCTTCTGCATTACATACCTGATCTCCAGCAGTTACACATACAGATACGGGTGTTGCCAGCACAAGTTAATTTGTGTCCAGTGAATGACTCAACCAACTTTGTGTTGGCATAGCTTTTGTCACATGTCACACTTAGAATTTATTCTTCCATAAACTGTGAGTTGAACTGCATCATTTTGTGTGTACAAATGTATGTTTGTATTTTTTTTTGGTTGGTGTGTGTGTGTGTGTGTGTGTGTGTGTGTGTGTGTGTGTGTGTGTGTGTGCAGGTGTCCATACACACTCATATGGAGGCTAGAAGCTGATTTCAGGTGTTATATTAATCAATCTCCATCTTACTTTTGGCACAAGATCTCCCACCAAACCTGGAGCAGAGCAGTTAATGAGCATGACTGGCCAGCAGGGTCCTGGGATCTTTCTGCCTCTGCCCCCCAAACCCTGGTACAGGCATGCACTACCATGCTTACATGGGTGCTGAGGGTCCAAATTCAGGTTCTCATGCTTTGGTGGCAAGCCCTCTCTCTATCCATTGAGCCGATCAACTCCCTTTTTCCTTTGCCATTCTTTATTTTCTGCTTGCCACACTGAGTACAAACTCAACTTAATATGTAGACATATGCTAGAGGCTGTAAGGGAGGGGATACTCCGCATTCCCAATGCTCAACTTCACATGATGGCCCTGCCGTACCCTCAAGTCTGTCTAACTCTCACTCTCTGCTTTGATTGGGATTGAAAACCCCATGGCTACTTTCCAGCAATGTCATCAATATGCAACTTGAGTCAGGGAAAAATGTTTAACTCAATAGCTTATTATATCCTGTGAGGCAGAGGTACCTAATACTGCTCATAACCGACAGACCAGCTCAGGCAGAGCCATGATTGTCTGGCTTGCTCAAGGCCAAGGCCTTCTCAAATGTGATGAGCCAGGGCTTTGAGGATCAGGAGAAGGGGAGCACAGGAGGAAAGGCCATGGGAGTGGGTGGCCTTGGGGAACAGCTCTGTGAATAGCTCCTTCGGCAGAGGGCACAGGAGGCTACAGCTAGGCACAGAGAACTCTGCCCCTGAATATGGAACAACTCAGTTTCAGAATTTCACTAATGCTCACCTTGTTTCCCATAGTGGGAGAAATGTGTGTGAGTTTAACAACAGAGGGCAAAGAGTGAGAGGCAGCACACTGTGGCGATAGGGTTCATGACATTGCTGCTGCTGCTGCTGGTGACAGGGTTGCCACGTGTGACCTTATCCCTTGCCTGGGCAAAGAAGCAGGGACCCTGTGACATCGGGGATGACTGTTATGAGCCTTTGTCAAAACAGCCACCCTCATCCTCTGTCACTACGAGAAGCCTGACAAGTGGGTCTTGAGGCCAGGCATCTTTATAATTTTATCTGGAGTCTCTTTCTTCATATAGCCAACAGTGCACTGTGTTTCATCTCAGCAATCTAACCAAATCACTTTTGTATTTCATAAAGGGCAACTTTAGCGATAACAACAACAACAACAATAATGATAATAATAAAAACAACCAGGGCTTCTCAAGCTCAGCATCAGTCAGTCGTCTGCAATCAAACACATTTGCAATCAAACAGCTCTTTTTTTTTTTTTTTCCAATGGGCTGCTCTGCTCTGAACCTTGTAGGAAACCTAGTGTCATTCTTAGTCTCTACCTACTAAATACCAATGGATTCACTGTGTCACCTACTCTTGGTGATCAAACATACTTCCAGACACTGTCAAATATCTTCTGAGGGTACAAAATTGCCTTTGGTTTAGAATCATTGGTTTAAAATGACCTAAGGAGAGATTAAATTAAATGAGCCATGTGCTTTAGAGCATGCAAACAATTCTATGAGTGCATAAAGTTGTATAAGGAAACAAAAAGAGTTCCGTAGCATAGATTAAGCATCTATATATAGATAACTGACTGGCTGCTGAGCCACAGCTCCTGAAGCTGTAAATGAGAAGTGCCCGCACAGACTCCACAACATGCAATATGGGGACATAAGGTCATGGGGAAAGCTCTGAAAGAAGCCTCCCTGGGTGGTAATGATTACCACGGTACCTACCCCCACCTCTCAGTTATCCCAGAACCATCATCTACAAGCTATGTGGCGCACACGCAATATGGGATGGCCATGGCTGATCATCAGGTAAGAGGTCTACAGAGATGGGCATGCTGTAAAAGAACTGTTTATTTAATGCTTCGTGCCTTAGAATGGGCCTGTAACCTGACAAGCGCCCTGGGTGAGGAATGTTCAATTTACCAGTTCTAACCAGCCAAGTCCTTGTGTGAACTCTCTAAGACCCAGCTGAGGAGCCTGGGAAAGACCGACCAACCACGGATTTTGGAGTTTCCCCCCCACAGTGCTCGCTCCCTAGCCCCGGGTCTCCGACCTGCAGCAATCTCTTAAGGCCTGTGTAATGTTCCAGGTATGTTCCAGAATCTTAACTATCCGCAGAACTGGCAAGCACCTCGGCTCACCAGCCACCCGGTGTCTCCACACAGACCAACACAAAGGGAGACATTCTGTTCTATTTTTAAGTATATTGAGCAAAGAAGCAGCTTGATGCATCTTTGGGCTGTCACCCAAGAATCACTGTCTCCCTATTTTTATCAATGATATAGACTTTGAAAATCAGATAAATTTAGAAACTCAATGTTAGGTCTTAATCTGTCAACTGTGTGATTTTGGTGAAATCACTTAACTTTCTTTGAAACTCGGCACATATATGTGTAAAATTAGAATATATATATAATATATATATATATATTATATATATATAGTTTTGAAGGATGTGTGTGTGTGTGTGTGTGTGTGTGTGATGGCAAACAGAAAGCAAGTGTTCCAAAATGGTAGCCATCACCGTAACTAATTATTTATTGCTCATCAGCATTATCATTGTTCTCTTGCAATCATTCATTATTTTATTCAGTACCACCTATGCACTGGGTGCAAAGAAAACTTTGAATTATTATAAAAATGTGCTCTCTTTGGAGAATGGGCATGTTAACTGTGCAAGTGAGAAGGCAATCAGCAATGTACTGACCAGTGGCTAACAGCAGTTCTGTGTGTAGCCTGGCACTCAGGGGCTCGGAAACTGTTAGATGATGATGGTACTGATGTTGATTTTGATGCTGAAAACTAGTTGATTTGACAATCTGCACCTGATTCACTTGTCACATCACTCACTGAATGCTTATCACTATAAGAAATGAGTTATTTTCAAGTAAATGAGTCCCAATCTTGTGAGAGTGAACCTCGTTTCTCTGAGTAACACTTTAATAGGAGTAGATTAACATTCTTTATTATAGGGTAGGCTCATAATAGGCGTCTGGAGTCTGGGAGGTAATTCTCACCACTGAAAGGTAAATGAATTTTGACTAATTTATAAGTACATACTAGATTTCTTTCTCTTTTTTTTTTTTGAGTTTAGAAATTTTCCATCATGCGAGAAAATTAGGGGTATGGAGCAATAATATAATAGCAATAATCAAAACTGCTCACCTACAAGGTAAAACAAACATCGACAGACATTAACCCCTTAGTGGAAAAGAAATGTCTTCTTCTGTATTAATCTGTATTAGGCGCCGTTTGCTACGAGGCCCCTCTCTGTGGGAACAGAAGGGAGTCAACAGCATCATATTTTAGTCTTTCTCACCCCCAAAGCTTTCACAACCCTTGTATTTCAACACAGCTCAGCACACTCTGCTGTAGGTCCTTAGTGTCTTAATCCTAAAAAGCACCGTTTCCCAAACATCATGTTTCCGTAACGCAGGAACTCAAGCTGTGACAACAAATTTCCTTCGGGCAACAACGTAAGAACACATGTATGTTCAGGCCTGGCAAGGTCAGCGGGAAGTTAAACTCTCCAGACGGATGAGATGCTTACCTCAAATATGTTCGCGGGCTCATTGTTGTACTGGTTGGATATGACCTCGGACTGGTCAGTGCACCATTTCAGTCCACCCAGGAAGCTGTCTGTATCCAAGTCATTCACGTCAAGTTCAGAAAGGTCAAGTTCGGGAAGATCTGGGCAAAGAGGCTGGTCCTCACCAACCAGAGCAGCACACTGCAGGAGTCAGCAAAGAAAAGAAAAAAAGAAAAGAAACAATGGTCACTAATGGCAGGAATTCACTCAACTGCAATGCCATGTGAGGGGAATTAAGTCTGGTTAATTCAACTGCAGCACCAAAGCTGGCCTCCGGGCTTTAATCGCCAAGGGAAACACCTTCCATTCTTTATTTGCTTAGCTTCCCCCCACCAAGAGTATTTTGTCTAATTTCCCCCTGTCCAAATTCTAAACCCAGATCCAAACTAAGTACCATGTTCATATGAAGGCCTCCTTGAGTCTTCCAGGTGGAAAGGTACAGGATTTGTCCCCACCTCCAGGAGAATTGTAGTCAGGGAGTTTCAACCCCTCTTAGAGTTAACGATGCACGTGATTTTATTCTGTCCTTATCACGGGCCTGGTTTGAGAGGCGTATGCCAGTGGGTTTGTACCTTGGAATCACCATCAGATATAATGGATATCCCTATGAACAACTGCTCACTGAGATAACAGGACTCAGGAATTAGAGTAAGGAAACTTCCTCTGTGCCCACCCCCTGTAAGTATTATAAGCCATATCATTCATTTAGCAACTAATGATGCAAGTCCTCTGACTCATCTGTGGCTCTTTTGAATTGTTATTTAAATCATTTACTCTCACTTGCCTTTTTATGAGTTCCCTGACTCCATCCTTAACAGGTCAAATGCAAGTTCCTTGAGTTAAAGAACAAAATTCATATTATTTTTCTATGTGACCTTTATAGCTTTCACTGGGAAAACTTTGCAAGGTGTGTGTGTGTGTGTGTGTGTGTGTGTGTGTGTGAGAGAGAGAGAGAGAGAGAGAGAGAGAGAGAGAGAGAGAGAGAGAGAGAGAGAGAGAGATCACCTGTCACCTAAAAGCGGAAAAACCAAACTACTATACCACGATTGCTATATTGTGTGTTTTATTGAGGTATGTCAAAATTACAGCTGTGGTGAATTTAAATTTTTTTTCATATTTGTATAAAGATATAAAATGGTTTTAATATATTAAAAGGTTTAAATACTTATCAGGAAGGCTTTTTTTTCTTTCCCCTTTTGTGGGATTTGGATTGTCTTTCCCCAGACGTATTGCCATCTGAGGAACTGGATCTTCTTAGCAATGGGATGGTACATTTAACTGGATAACTAATTGTTGAGCCACAGAAATGCTTGCTGTCAGGGTCTAATGACAGCAGAGTCACCACAACTTTGCCATCTTAGCAGCCTTCTGCCTGAATCTAAGCACCCACACGTCCCCAGGGCCCTCTTGCTGCCTCTACTTTCCAAGGTCGCAGGCAGCAGAGGGACGTAGGGCTGGCGCACTGAACTGAGTAAGTTTTGTGCAGATGTTACTTTTGAAGCACCCCGCCCTTGCTGTCAGGCTGCATTACACAGGTCACATGCAGCAATGTGAGCCGAAGCCACACGCTGCCGAGTCAGTACTGGGTAATGGAATCAGCAGGTAAGGAGAGGGGGAACGGAGGCTGCATATCATTGCAGTTTGTCTAGAAGACCACCAGCCCCCCCCTGCCCGCCCCCCCCCAAGATCCCCAAAGGCTGGCAGGCGGCCACGCCATGAAAAAATCTGCCAAAACCCAGTCTTCTTTCTCATCTTATGGGGCTTTTCTTCCTATCCGTGTCAGCCAAAGTCTACAGGTCAGAAAACCTGGCTAGATCTGTACGCGGAAGCTGGGCTGGAAAGCGTAGGTCTTGTCCAGGTACAGTATTAGTGTTTTGCTATGGGTCTAACACTTCTGTTCTTAACCACACTGCTTACCCTCAGAGCACAAACCCTTTTTCTTAACCCTTCCTCAACATCACCAGTGCAGAGACAAGGGGGCAACTTTGTCAACACTGCAGGAAACCATGGATGTCATGGGTGGAGGCTTCCTTTAAAAACTGAACCACCAAATCCAAAGATAGCATCCAAAAGAAAACTGAGGCAGAAGATTGCCAGAGCTACCTACGGCTGAAACCCCTGTCCTGGAGCACAGAAAGCTTGTTTGGGAACAGTAAATTGTCACATTGACTTGCTGGGAGACAGCTTCTTGCCATCTCTTTTTAACTACTATCTCTAAGCAAGACTAAAGACTCTTTAACTTCCAAGAATACATATACATGCATATACATACATACATACATATGAATATATAACTTGACAACTACTGAACAGATTAAGACCAACTTGTTATTTTAATATTCTCTTTCTTTGGGTTTCCCCTCCCCTCCTCCCCTCCCCCACCCTCTATTTCTCTCTCACACTGTTACGGTTATTCCTACATTATGGCTCAAAACAGTGTTTGCGATTTGCCCATTTTGACAACCTGATCAAATCAGTGCTTCTGAGTATGGATGGCATTGTCCCACTGATTTAAAACACCTTTGTGGAAGCTCCTGCTCCTGCGGTTAAGTCCCGTTTGGACTCAGACGACGGAAGACTTAGCAGGCTCAGCCCGGTCGCTGCCCTTGTCTGGCGCGCTGCTGTTGATGGCTCCCCTACACACCTGTAACAGGTGTGTCCCTGAAACTACACAGACATTCTCCCGCCACTTTGCAACTGTGACAGCAAACTTCACAAACTGTAGCCTTAGTTTTACAATAAGATTTAAGAGGCTGGAGCAGTCACTAAACACAAAAGGCTAATTATTGTACGTTATTTCACCCCAACAGACTTTTCCCTTAGTTAAGGAGCAGACAATAAATTAGCTGAACTGCATGGATGATAATGATTCATTATAATTAAGTATAATTCTCCATTAACCTTTCAGCGGTTTTGGCGCCACTGATGGTAAATTTTAAAGAGAGAGAGAGAAGAGAGTGGACTCTGCAGTACTAATTATATTAATACAAAAAAAAAAGAATCTTCTGATGAAAACATTAGTTGAAGTCGGAGGAGGGATGGAGAATGAGTCTTGGTGAAGTGTGTCATGTGAACTGTCTCTATCAATCTTAGCAACCTTATTGTAACGTCACCTCCATTAAGCTGTGAAACTCGGGGACTCTGGGTAGCTCTGGTGGTTTGGGCTTTTATTAGCCAATGCACTGTCCTGTCATTATGTGCGAAAGGGCATAATAGGTTTTAAGATGACAGTAAACATTAATGATTCAAAAAATGAAAGCTGCCCACGCTACCTGCTGCGTGATTCCCGGAGCCAAGGCCACGAAGGCACAGGTTTCTAGCAGCTGGCTGTCTACTATGCACCATTGACTGGCCAGTCACAGCTGACCCAAGCCTCACTCTTAAGTCTGGACAATGAGCCCCAATCCCCTCCTCCATAAGAAAAACAAACAAACTTAAAGGGATAGTTGTGAAAGGCTGGGAAGCTTCTTTGCAAACAACTGCAGGAATTCTGACCCGTGGAGGCAAATCTCCATTTCCTTTAGATCAGCTCTTCAATCTTTGAGCAGCAGCAGGACACACAAGCCGCAAAAATGAAAGTAAATGGAGGAAGTGAATGGAGGAGACCCATTGAGCCAGCCAGACAGCCAGCCACGGCGACTCCAGCGATTGGGACTTTGAAGCCACTTAGAACTCAGGCTCCCAATAGCCACAGAACGCATGAATTATCCGTATCTATTCCGCCACAACAAGACAAGAATAATTAGAACCCTCAAATCCGATCTGCCAAACCCAGGGGAAGGCAAAGGGAGCCAAACCCAGCAAAGAGTTAAGAGCCCAGGACACGCCTGGCTAGATAGGAAAAATGCATTCGCGGGCAGCCTGGCCAAATCATTTTCACTTTAGATGTGTATCGCTGCACCACACGGACATCTTATTTAATCAAATCACGTGTGGCACTTGACCCTCCCCCTTACCCTACGTGCCCCCGCTACGGGGAGGAAGCACCATTGTTAGTTAGCAGCTCCTATCCTCCGCGCAATTCAATTCGGGTCCATCTCACCAGAGTCCACAAAAGTTTCACTTGTTCTCCAACTTGCCCAAACTTTCGGAGAACATTCCATTGCACTGAATGCAAACACGCCTGCCGAGGTCCTCTGTCCCTAGCTGGACTCCGGAGATTACGAGGAAACTGCTCGTGCTGATTTTTTTTCCCTCCCCTGTATGAATTGTAGCCAGCAGAGACTGTGGAATTGATGTATTGCGGTCTATTTTTACACAAGCATTGAGTAGCTCCACACACAAGGTCTGCATAAACTCCCTTCTCTCCCAGCTTCAGGCAGCTCTCCGTGGTACAGAAAGATTTAACCATTCGGTTTCTGGCCAGTGAAGCAAACAGAAAGCCCTGCTCTCTTAAGGCTGGGATCTCTCTCTCTCTCTCTCTCTCTCTCTCTCTCTCTCTCTCTCTCTCTCTCTCTCTCTCTCTCTCTCTCTCTCTCTCTCTCTCCCTCAACTCGCTAGCCAACCCTGTCAACCACACACACAAGTGTTTTAAAGGAAAACAGCGCCGTCGTTTCGTGTTCTGTGGGAAAAGCAGTCTAGCTCAGCCCCAGCAGGATTATTTGGGATCTTGTAAGTTCTCTTGTTTAATGAACACAGAGAGGAAGGCAGAAAAACAAAAATCCCGACGAGAGTCAAAACGGACTCTCTCTGAACACATCCATTATAATGTTTATCTTCATTTTCTTATTAATAGAAGTGGCATTTTCCCAAGCAGGCCACTGAGCACTGGGAAGACTTCAGCTCCTGATTCATATCAATATCTTAGAGCATAAATATTGCATATGAGTAGAAACAGAGCCAAAGGCACATGGAAAGAGTTTCTAACTGCTACAGATACTGATGACAGCAGCTAAGCTTTGATTTGCTCAAGGCATCTCAGAGCCACCTTAAAATAGCAAACTTATTGGAGTTAAGATAAGATTGAGATTCCCCTAGCAGAGGCTCCCGCCGCTGCCACCGCCGCCGCCGCCGCCGCCCGCCACCACCGCCTTACTTTCTAAGTCCCCCTCCTTTACCCTAGCCCATCCCCCTCCAGGAATCATTGCATCTGAGGAAAGCTCCGGTCCTGCAATGCCCAGCCCCAGCTCACCTCTATATCA